TTGTTTTTAGTCCTATTGGTTCTTTCAACCCTCTTTCTACCCCCTTCCCACCATATAACTCTTGGTTTCGGTTTCAGTATTTTGGCAATCATCATGGGTTATGGCTTGCATAGTTGTGTATGTACAGACTGAATATCAGCCCTATTATCAAAACACTGATACTGTTGGAGCTAGTTCACAAGCTGGAGAGCTATTAACATTCATAAGTTCAGGATTCCGTTGAACACTTTTTGAGAAGTTATGGTATGAATACTTAGGTGTAGGAGTGGAAATCAGTTCTTTCTGTTTACACTAGAAATTCCTGAATGCTAGCACTGTAGGCTTTAAACAGCAGAAGAGGGTTTGCTTTGAATAGTCACAGTAAAGTTACAAACTTGTAACTGAATCATTTGAACAGCAAATATAGCTGGCGCCAAAGGAACAGATGACAAACTTACATTTAAAGAGAACATTTTCGAGTCCTTATTTTATTATGCTAAGGTAGCTAACAAGACAATTTAATTGTAGTGGGTACTTCAGTTTTTTGCTTTGAAAACTTTAACTTAATTGTTTACTTCAGTTAAAGAACTCTTAATTGATCAAAATAAACTCCTTAGATTGATACTTGCAGATTGTGGCTTGTAAATTGCTTTCTGCCACACACCCCTCCCCCAGACTTTGACCTTGAGGTCAGCAGAGGCCAACCTCTTTTTCTTGCCTGGTGTGCCATAAGTTTGCCCCCTACCCTCAGTGCCACTCCAGTCCCCTTCCCTTCCCTTCCCTGATCTACTGCTCTGCTTTCTGCTCCATGCCCTGTTTCCCTGCCTGGTCAGCTGTGTTGCTTTGTTCCTTGCCCTATCTGCAGCTGTCCTGCCTGTCCCATCCCCAGTCCACTGTGTGCGAGGCACATGCTGCAGGTTAGCTACCCCTGCTCTAGGTTAAAACTGGAAGTATGTGAAGACATTCTTAGCATACATCGCCCTTGTTTTTGGTTAGATAAACTAACCAGAAGCTTTACTGTATTAAAATAATAAGAATGAAGTTAAATCTTAGAGTTCCAGTTACTTGTAGAAGAAAAACTTGTTGGACAGGCAAATGGAAAGCTAATTCTCAGGTTGGTATATATTTTGCCTGTAAGGTTTGGCTGAAATTGGGTCTTGCTTGTCTTATAAAGTAAATACACAATATGTACATGTATCTTTTTAAGGATTGAAAAAGCTGGTTCTGCAAAAATTGTCAGGCTTGCAATTTGAGAATTCATATTTAATTTGGATTTAATCGATTGATTAAATTTACAAGGGTTTAACATTTTGATACATGAATGTGCACAGATGCTTGCTTGTATTAGGGGAGTACCTAGAGGCTCTAGTGTGTGTTTGGGGTTTTTTTTTTTAAATCAGGATCATTGTGATAGCTGGTGTCCTAAAGTGCAATGTAACAAGAAAAAAAAGTAATAGAGATGACATTTAAGTAGAATAAAAAATTTTCTTCTTTCTAGGCAAGAAAGGTGTCCCCTGTTTTGGACACAGGAAAAATGGTGAAGCACAGAAAAGCTATATTCCTGTTTGCCTGCATCAGGGGATAGCTAGATATTGTGTGAATATTTCAAGAAACTTTGACCAGAAAAACAGGAATGCTGATTTTAAAACTTGTTTTGTGTGGGATGCTTGGGGAAAGTTGAGATGATTAAATCAACCAAAACAATGTAGCTAAAGTACATTAAACTTCTGCCTGGGTTTTGCTTAATCCTCCTAGGTACAGCAATCTATCTAGCTGTATTTCTGAAACCAGCATCTACAACAGGGGGTTAGTGCACTTGAACCTTATGTGCTAGCTTCCCAGCATTAACTGAGTTACCCTGATATTTCCCCCCCCACCAAAGCCTACAGTACAAAATAAGGGGAAAATTAACTAGTTAAAAATATTTGAAATGGGAACAATATAACTAAAGGTGTAGATCTTAAAGTTACTATGACATTTAGTCATTTTATAGAAATAAAAAACTCTTTCATGAGCTCAGAATTTTAAAGAGCTAAAGGACAGTCTAGCTTCAGTGTCTTAGGACCACACCTTGCACTTGTGAAGTCCAGGTCCATGACATCCCATAGGCCAGATGCGCTGTGGGCTACAAGTTTCTGGGACTCTAAGTAGCCTGAGCTCCCTGGTGCATAAGGGACATGATACAAAAGACCTGCAACCAACTTGGGGAGAAGTTTGTTACAAAAGTCAAGTGCTGCACCCTAACTGTTCAGTGTCCTGCAGAGTGTAGGGAATGTACCACAGTGGCAACTTCAATCAATCTACCTCAGAATGTTTAACAGTGGCAGCACCCAACCTTGGAGGGAATGATGAATGAATCCTTCTGGTGGGTGCTCCTAGAGGAGTCTGAGAGCATCTCTTAGTTTTAGCTATATATTTGTTCGCTTTGTATTTAAGCTTACACGAAGCTCTGGGTTTGGTTTTGTTAATTGAAATGGATGACAAGGCAGCTGAAGCACAGGTAGATTCATGTTGGCTCGGGTTGGCCTCCCCAAGAAAAAAACACTTCCTTGTGTATCTTCATTATCCACAGTTTATATCCTGACTTCAGTATAGGAATACAATGCAATACAGTCTGTTTTCTTTACCATTTGGGATATCTTGTGGAGGTAATCTTCTCTGCCCCTGATGTTCAGAATGTTGCTCTTTACTGCTTGCTTTATTCTAACAATATTCAAAATGCAGTAGGTAAGGCTGGAGCAGTGGTTCCCAAACTGTGGGTTGTGAACCCAAATGGGGTTGCAGCATCAGTGGATTGCGGGGGGGGGGGGCTGGAGTTTGGGGGGGGGGGCTCATGCTGAGGAAATGGTGTCATGCTCAAGACAGGTTTGGGAATCACTAAGTAGGAGTGTTTGTATTGCTTGGATGGCCTAGGAAGTGCAAGAGGAAAGGATTTCTTGGGTGGTGATATCTTAGAGGTAGGCAGTTTTTTATTTTGAGAAGAGGGCTGCTTACCCAGTTTTGGCAGGCTGTTGAGGGCTGCATGGGGTGCCCTGCCCCCTGGTCACCAGTGTCTTGGGACCAGTGTCCTAGGGCCAGCACCGGTGGGGGCCCAAAGCAGGGCATGGGCTGGCACGGGTCTGTGGAGCTGGGCTG